CTTAACTGATTGAAGCTTTATTTCATTCAACTACAAACCGATTAAAATCACCTTTAATCAACTAGAAGATCTTCAAATTTTGAACTTTTTCATTTTGGCTCCTTTTAACAGTCAACAATATTTTCAAACTTATTTTTGGTGCTTGAAGATACTAAGACCTTATACTTTAATCCATTATCCAAACCTCTTAGCCGATAAGCATATTTTTGTTTTGCTTCAACTTATCATACAGACATGTCTTAGTTGATTAAGGTACTTTGATAATCAGTTAGTTGATTAAGGTACTTTGATAATCAGTTACTAAAATTCTATTTTTGTTCATTACTTGCTCTTTCCCTCTTAGCTGATTAAATCTTCAATAAACTTGGCAAGCTCCTTGACTTGCCTTTAATTAACAACTTTTATTATTGGTGCAAAATTAAATCCTCCACACTAAAATAGTGAAGTTAAATATTAATGAATGAGGAATGTTTTATTATCATCAAAAACATATAAAGTCAACATTTATGTGGTTATGGTGAACAATTGTTGGTTTATTGTGAACAATTTCTAGTTTATTGTTATGAATATCTATGGTTGCTCATGCATATTAATATATTTGTGGTTGATGTGCCAATGAATTGTATTTGTGTTAAGAAATCTATATAAAGATATACATAATTTTGAAAGGAGAAAATGTGATGATCAAAACAAAAATCAAAAAAAAAATTTATGCATATATTAAGGTGGGGCACATACTAAGGGGTAGTAATCCATCAACTGCACATAGCTATAAAGTCTAAAGTTTAAACAGACCTTGCGCTCTTAATCAACGAGAGTTTTGTCATCATCAAAAAAATGAGAGAATGTTGACTCCATGTGTTTTTTATGGTAACAAAACATTGCTCATTCATTTATGTCTAATCATATTATTTAAGTGTGTAAGAAAGAGTTTAAATTCCCTAACATAATTAGTGTTTGAAAGTAAGCCAAGAAACTTATTGAGTTGAAAGCTCAATAACCAATTAAACAAGCAAAGAAAGAGAGACTCAATGAAGACATATTAGTTTTAACCGATTAACAAGAGACTTCAATCAGTTAAAGCTGTACTGGGCGCTATACAAAAGTTAGACAAAATAGGTTTAATTAGTTAACATAAAGAGCTTCAATCAGTTAAAGTTGTACTAGGCGTTACAAAAAAGTTAGATAAAATAGGTTTAATTGATTAACACAAGGCTTAATTGGTTAAAAGGGTACTAGACACAAAACAAAAGCTTGTTAACCGATTAACCAAAGGGGTTAATTGATTAAAGGTCAAACTTGGAGTACCTAAAAGCACCAAAATTCAATTTCAAAAAAGATGTAGACCGCTAAAAGCATCAAAATGAATGTTTTCAAATTTAAAGATATTTTAATCAGTTAAAGCTTATTTTTATAGGTTAAAGACGAAGGATGAGAAGCCTTAATCAATTAAAGGGAGGACTAACCAATTAAAGGAAGGCTGATGAAAAATGCCATTTGAAGAAGTTTGAAAATAGAAAATTCTTAATCGGTTAAGGCCACCTTTAACCGATTAATGTTACGAAGCAAATTGTAAGTCAGAAAGGCTTTAATTGGTTAAAGCCTATCTTAACCAATTAAAAAGCTACTGTTAGGAATTTGAATTTAACCATTAGAAGGTAAAATAATAGCTATAATTGACCAAAAACTATCTCTAATGGCTAGAATTTGTCCTCCACGTATTTAAAAGGCTTCAAACGGTTAGAAATGGTTAGAAAAACTACGAAGACAGTATCTAAGCTTAGAATTTCTAAAAACCTTGTCTTTACAAGTGTGTTTCACTCTTACTGTTTGTAAACTTATTTGAGTTTGCATTTGTATAGATTAGATTAGTTAAGTGATCATTGTACTTTATCTTTTTCTTAGTTCTTGATTAATTAGAGTGGGCGAGATACTATAAGGGATTGTTGTAATGGTTTAGAGCTTGGGTTAAAAATTCATCTTGTAAAAGCTTAGTGGAAACTATTAATTTTACTAGTTTAGTGAAGTTGGGTTGAAAATCCTTGATTTAAAAATCAAGATAGTGGAGTAGGTCAAAAGAATCGAAACACTGTAAATACTTATGTTTAGTCCACTTCTCTTTACCCTTTTTTTACTTAGTGCATTTTAACCTCAATAAGTTTTAAACTCTCTTCCTCAAAATTATTTAAAAGATTTTCAAACTTCAAAACTTCCTCCAAAATATTTTTAATACTATTCATCCCTTTTCTAGCACTCCTTTGGTACCCAAAAATACCTACTGAAAATGCATCAAAAAGAGAGAAAACAAGAAAAGAACAAAGAAGGAGCAATAAAGAGCAAAACACAAGAAAAGTTGAAAAATCTTTCCTTCGATTCAAACAAGAGCAAAAATCACAACAAGATTATTCCATTCTTCATCATTATAAACTTTTGAGTTGAAATATTATTTCATCTATCCTTACTACTAAAAAATCTCTTATATTTTTATACTTAAATTGCTTATTAGCCTTGTTAGAGGTTTTAAACTCCATACACTTTCTAGAGTCCATTGTTACTAGTTATACCCCCATGTAAAAAGTAGTGTTAAAGGTCATATCTCCTCTTAAAAAGGTAGAGTTTGGTTATGCCTCCATTGATAAGATAGAGAAGTTGTGTTTGATCCTTAAAAGACAGTTAGTTATAAAGACTGTGGTTGATCCTAAAAGGCAATCACTTTTGTAAAGGTTGTAGTTGACCCTAGAAAGGCAGTTGCTTGTAAAGGTTGTGCTCAAACCTGTACTGAAAAGGCTGTTGATAGTGGATTCAAATTCTTCGTGCCATTAAGGGAGAGGACGTAAACATCAAAGGTAGTCGAAACTCTATAAAAACTTAACTGAGTACTTTTTACTTTCTGCATCATCTGTATTTAGCTTATAATCTGTTTTTACGACTCTATGTTTAATATTCACACTACCTTGTTTTTAAAGAAGGGATTTTCACTTGATAACTAATTCACCCCCTCTTGGTTACTTTACTTGAAGTTATTCATCTAGCAATTATGTAAGTTAGCTAAATTCCAGGTGATAATAACAAACAAACATGGCTATTATCTCCTAACAAATTATAAATAAAAGGAGATAATAATAAATAAAAATATTATAGTGAAGATAATCTAATTAGCTATTAACTAATCAAACCAGGATAGATGATTACACAATCCATACTTGTACATGCACATACAAAACATCTTAAAATTCTAGCAGCTCTGATTCTTTTGATTAATTAAAAAATTATCATCGATATCCCACTGGACAATCCTTAAGCGTTCATTATGAATATGCTACAAATTGATTGTCACACACTATCTTCGTCTCATTACATTTGTCTCTTATTGATTTTTTTTATCAAACAATTTCATTCTGACAATTATTTTTAATAAGATAATAAAAATTTTGAAATTTTGAATTTCAAACTTTCCAGAATATATTTTTTAAAACTTTAATTGGATATGATATTTTAGTTTGTTGCATCTAGTCTCTAAGTCCAATCTAACTGACTCTGCTACAGTAAAGTGTCTGGAATCTTGTATGGGTCACATTACCAATCTATTAGCTTCCTTGTTTCAAGCCCATAGCTATTAATAACAAAGCTGTGAACTCTGCTGGGCCTGTTCCCTTATGTCTTTTTCATGTGGGAAAGAAGCTGAGAGTGGTGGTTTCCAATTCTTTCATCCCCATCTCGTCCTCAGTGGTCAATCATTGAAAGAAACGTTGAACTCTAGACCCTTTGCTAAAGAGTGGAAACCCATTAACCTCCTTTGTTAAAGTGGCCGGCCACACATTTTGTTGTGCACATCAATGATTCATAAACAATTGAAATTGAATGATAGTAACACAATCGTTAGTGTGAAGGTGAAGAAAAAGAAAAGTGCAATGAAACATTGAAGCTGCCATTGGCCTTTTTTAAAAGCTTACTTCCATGACTCATGACGTTTGGGGCCTTGGTTTGTATGATGTACCGTTGCATTGATAATGACAGCCATCACCTTGATGACTTGTTCATATTATCTTGATTTTTGACTCTTTTTTTTTTTTCAATTTTTTTTTTTTAGGCAGTGACCTCACGGATTGTGGAATGTAGAAATTTTCGACAGATTAACTTTGTTGGCCTCTTTCACCGTAAAAATGGAAAGGATAAATGAGAATTATGTGTATAAATTGTCAGCTATTAAGATTCTTCACAGCTTGGACAGAAGATTCTTGAATCTTGCTGGTAAATCTCTTGGTTGGATTTGCTAATCTCATTTGTCATGCGTGCTCACTGCTCAATGAACTTTAAAAAAAAAAAAAAAGGTTGGCACATGACTACAAGCAACCTCCTAGAAAGTTTGGAGCAAATGCTTACAAGGGCATTCCATTTTTAAGATGCATACTCAATCATCATCAAAAAAAAAAGAACCAATGAAGTGCGTTTCGTTTTTATTTGCCAAGAGGTTGATTCCAAATCCTAGGACTTAAAAAAAAATGCATTCCTTTCGTTTCTCCTACCGCAAAAAACCAAAGTTTGAGATTCTTAGGAAAAAGGTTGGACTGGTTTTCCAACATAATTTACTCCAGTCATAAGGAAAGCACCCTTTAAACAACAAAAGAAAGACCAGCTTTTAGTTCCTTCTTGTGTCGGGTATGGTATCGTTTAACCGCTCTAACTATGAGCCAAGAGCACTACTTTTTCTTTGAACTTGTTCTCTTCTTCTTATGGCACATTTGTGATTCTGAATGGGCAAAAACAGAGATTTTGAAATGGACGTGTGAAAGTGTCCACCAATGAATAGTGTGGTGACTAGGGTAAGCAAAAAAGGGCTAAAGCACTGAATCTTTGTCATTATCAGACAGTCACGTGAGCTTCAGCTTCTCATTCACTCCGTTTTGGAGTCCTTTTTCCCTACAGCTCTCTATCAACGGCCAAAACTTTATAAGACACCCTAAACGACGCGCACCAAGTAAATCACCTTCGCACTTGCTTTGTTCGCAGCCCAACCTTATCCACATCCAAACACAGCCTTCTTCAAATACCACAAAATACGAGGACACATTTTTTGTATAAGAAAAGCACATATCGAAGGGGTCAATTACGAATGATTTATTATTTAAAACATTTGCTCGGCTTGATGGCTTTGGGCACTGAACATTTGCCCGCCCAAATATATATCTAAAACAGTGCACCACATTAAATGATGGTTACACTTTTCGATAGCATTGTTCGTTACTTGGCCTGAGCCTCTCTCTCTCTCTTCTTCTTGGCCTTTATCTCCCTTTATTTTTCGCTATCGTTTCCCTCCGTCGCCTCTCGACACGCCAGAGATACCTGAAAATCAATTCTTTGATTGGTTTTTGATTTCCTTTCTGCCCTCTGCAACTGTTCGTCGAAATGCCTGAACCATGGCCACCTTCACTTCGTCGAGCCATACTTTTGCCTTGCCTCATTCATTTTTGACGCATTTCAGTTCTCGGGGTTTCCCGTCTTGTTTCTGCGTGATTAGACAAGGACGGAAAGGGAATTTGGTGTCTCTGAAGTTGAATCTCGTTCGTGGTTTGGAGTTTGGGAAGCAGAAAAAAAGGGTTTCTTGGTGGTCTTGTTGGTGCAAGAAAGGGTGGGACAACGACGCGGATTTAGCTTTGGAAACAGAGATATTGGAGTTTATGAGGAATAGTGAGAAACCTGAGGTATTTCCCAGCAAGAAAGAGTTGGTTGATGCTGGGAGGATGGATCTGGTTGAGAGGATAAAGAGACAAGGAGGGTGGCTTGCTATGGGCTGGGACTTAGATAAAGATAATGGATTTCAAGAAGATGGATTTTCAGAAAATTATGTCAAGATTGGGACTTGGAAAAGGAGTGGGATAACGAGGCTTTTCAAGAGAGGGTTCAGAGTGAAGTTGGAAGTAGAGATACTTCTTCTTTGGCTTTTAATTCTTCTTCTTCACCTTCCTCGTCTGGTAGATCACTGTGAGATTTCTAATTCTTGGGCGTCTAAACGTATTCCTTTTTCTTGTGTGAAAGTTAGTTCGTTGCACATGTTGTTGAAATGCTTTTTTCTTTTAATTATGTTCTTTGTAGTTTTATTGTTCTCGTGTTTAGAACATATAGTTGCTAATGGCACTCTTTCGTTTTTTTTTTTTTTTGGTAGAAAAGGTAATTTGCTTGCACTTGCTATTGCTGGTGACATGTTATTTGAATGTGTTGTGTTAAAAGAAACAATCTTGTGGAGATTTTGTTCTTTGTTTCTTCTTTTATAGTTTTCATGTTTGTGATAAACAGTTGCTAAGTTAGATGTGATGCTTTAAGTCAATTTAAACACTGGTCTGTGAACCTATAAATCTTCTTTAAATTCGAGCAGGAGAAAGTTGAAATCTTTTGGAGTTGTGGACCCTGGGAAGGATTTTGACCAAATGTTCTGTTTGTTCAGAGAAGTAGCAGCTGAGGATGACTCCGGGATTGATGGTATACTGAGTCGTTTGGAAAGAGAAAGGAATGTAAGTTTTGGGTTTGGTTTCAGAGAGAAAGGTGACAATAATGCTTGTACCCAAAGTAATGATAGTGAAGAAGAATCTCTTTTGCAAGCCTCAATGGATGTGGTATGTTGGTTCTATTAATTCTGATACAGTCTTACATCCCATTATTGTTTTTCAGCTTATATCAGGTGGCAAATTTATATGTTGTATGTTAGGTTTTGAAAAGATATATGTATGAAAAGTGGTTTGCACCATGGTTTCTAAAGTGAAGATATCTAGTTTACTGTTTTAGCATGATTTCTTGTCACAACAACAGTTATCTTTCTCTCTTCCATTTTCATAACTTTTTGTAATTGTTATGTGTAAAAGACAGTTGGTGGTCCTGGTAGAAGAAAACTTGTGCCATTCAGCCATAGTACGAGCCTAGTCAATGATATTGGGGTCAAGTCTAGTGAGAACCAGTCTCTTTCAGGCATTGATGGTTTAAGAAACTCAACATGGAGAGAGTGGAGCCTTCAAAGAGCAGGGTTTAGAGGCAAGGAATTTGAAGGTAGACTATCTATTAGTTTCAGGTGTTTCATGACTTTGAAGTGTGAATTTGATAGATTTCTATTTGTACTATTGCAACTCGCAATTGCTGACATTATTATCTATGAAATAAAATGGTTAACAAATATTTCAGGAGATGAGATACTTGAAATAAGAGATAAATCCAGTGAACTACACAGAAGAAAAGAGTCAGATGCTTCCAAAAAAGAGATTAACAACGAAATACAAAGTCGTCTTGAGCACCTGAAGTTAGAGCTTTCATCCGTACTGCAATCACTGAGGTCTAATGTTGATGAGGTTTTATCATGGAAGGTGAGTGAATGACCTCCGTTTGTCTATGCTTGTTAGCTTCATGTAACTACTTCTGTCGGAATTTTTTATTTTTAGTATCTTGAAAAGAAACCAAATCAAAACTATTTTGTGGCCTTTTGTTTGTTCGCCTGAGAATTAGTTACTTCAAAGACAGTGTGGCTCTCCTTGCAATTCAGTTTTCTTTCTTTCTTTTTTCTTTTGTCAGAGCTTCTTTCACTAAATATTCTCTCTCTAATTCTCTTCTACTCACTCATTCTCTAGCTATTCTCAACCATTACTCTACTACTCATCTATTTTCTTCCACATGCCACAACACTTAGTACTTATGGAACTGCTCCAATCTTCCGTTCTGCAGCCTCCAAGGCATCCTTTTACTTATTTGCAGCGTTTCCTCTCTCCTTACCAGAAGAACCCTTTACAGAAAGTATTTTTGGTGCTGTCACCATACTTTGCATTCATTTTGAGTTATCAATTACCTTTTAACCCTGCTATCTGTCATGTGCTAGGGTGATGGAAGCTCCATTGACAGTTTGCTCAAGCTTTCTGATGCTTGGGAGTTCCAGGAAAATGAAATAATGAATGCCCAGGACAAGTTGCGGTCAATACGGGCAAGGTTGGCAGTTTTAGAAGGGAAGATGGCTTTGGCAATAATGTAAGCATACTTATGTTAGTGTAAAAAGATGACTACCTTAATTAACTTTGAGAGTATCACAATTCCACATTCCTTTGACAGAGATGCTCAAAAGACAGTGGAAGAGAAACAGAATAAGATTGATGATGCTCGTAGAACTTTGCAACTTCTTCGTACTGCTTGTGTAGTATGGCCTAATTCTGCATCAGAGGTGCTTTTAGCAGGATCATTTGATGGATGGGCAACCAAGGTTTGATCTCACCTCAAACAATTACTTAGAATTGATAATGACATTTTTATTCATTAATTGAAGTGCAGGCTTGGGTCTTGTTGATAAGCAATTAGGTATAGTCATTTAGACTGTAAGGTACTGACACAAATACCCCGTTTTTACTTTTAGTAGCTCTCTTTTGGTTACATATTCTTGTTTCATTAGTAATTATGTTGATAGTTAGGGGGAAAAGGTTTTTGATACTTTATAGAAAGAAAAAAGCGCCAAAGTCAGACCCATGATTTCATTGGCGAACTGCAGAGGTGCTTGGTGAGGCAAATAAGATGTTAAAGGAAATATTCGACTAAGCATTTTATTTTGGTCGATTTTTAAATTTCCTTTTAAGTGCAGAATTGCTTCAAATACATGCATGGCCTGCCTGTAATAGTCCATGATTTTTCATAAGCAGAACATGGCCAATTGCTTTACTTAAGGACCACTACTAATGTTCATGTCTCTTTTACACGAGGGGAATTCATTACTTCTCTGTTTATCATGATTAATACTCCTTTTGGTTTTCTACATTTAAGCCTACTTGTGTGACAATTAACAATTCAACATGTCTGTAACGCTCCTCTAAAATCTTCAAATCTACAGAATGTCAAGCAGTTTTCCCTTCACTGAGATGTAGCTAGCTCTCTGTGTTTCTTTTACTTAACTTGGTATCTTATGATTATATCTTGCAGAGAAAGATGGAGAAGTCACGTGCTGGTGTTTTTTCTTTACGCTTGAAGTTGTATCCAGGCAAATATGAGGTATATCATGTTGTCAACTTTGTTACAGTTCAAATTGTAAATTTTAATTGCATGATGGATAGCTCAGCACTTTTACCTTGTGGTATAGATTAAATTCATTGTTGATGGTGAATGGAAGATTGATCCCTTGCGCCCTATTGTTAACAACAATGGATTTGAGAATAATTTACTGATCATCACATAGGGAGGCCACACTCCAGAGGCATGCAACTGTGGGGATGGCAAGATATTTCATCATAAAGGCAGTGTAGGATAAATGCAGCTGATTTTTGCTTTTAGTTTTCCATTTTCCTTCCTGTAAACAAAGTAGATTAGAGCTGGCAGAAGATCATACTTTCTAATGATTCTTTACCAAAAGGGGCATCAAAAAATGTAACACAACCAGACAACTGTCTGATACCCATTTTCTCTTAAATTTTTTGTTAATTACCTTATTGATGCCAACACCTCTGTGAATAATGAGATGATATCATGAGATCATTTTAAAAGAAAATGAGTTGTGATATTCCAATGAAAAATTGGTTTTTCTTTTTTCAGATGAAGTATCAGCCTACTCAGTTGGATTGTTTAATAGAGCAATATTTTATTCAGTGAACACAAATTGTCTTCCTACATACTTGAGTTCATAAAACATAAAGGAATTCTTTTTAACTTCTCTCTAGTCTTTATACATAAAACATTTACCAAATGCAAATCAATTGTCTGGCAAAATTTCAAGATTTATGTCATGGTTTACCAGAAGTAACACAGTCTACACCAAAGTTTTATTGCACAAATTCCCGCATCCAAAAGCTCCTTTTAAAAGAGAAAGATGATTGACATGATTTTATGGTTTCATCAGATTCAGAACATAAAGAGATGGCAAATTCACCTTAATAAGAGAGCTAGAGAAAAAACATAAGACACATCCAGGGCTGCCAAATCCCTTGCTTTGAAGCTAAACTAATAACAGTCTATATTCCTAAAGGGTGTCTCATATGAACAACCTACAGGCTTACAGCATATTGAATATAACTACTCTGTTTTATATGTTAATAAAAAATCAAGCCTATTATCAAGAGACTATGCCTGAATGTTCCACATACTCTGGACATTTAGTTTTGGCGGATGTAAGCCCTCTGCCAAATTGAAAGATGCTGAAACCTAGAAGGCACAATTTGGAGCCTCAGTCAGTTGCATAAAAACAAATCATTAATCAAATTAAAGATCTTGCGAAATTCATGTACAATTTATTCAAAGAAAATTAACTTCTTTTAGTAGTGGGTGTGCAGGAATGATGTTAACAATGTAATGCATAGCTTAATAAGTGATCTACAGCATTAGAATGTTCATAAGGATGTTCCTAAAAATACAATAAAGACTCCAATATATCTGATTTTTCTTCAATAGTTATGGATATCAAATTAACCACGCAACCTTAATAAGTTCAACTTCATTTAATCTAGAAAAACAACTTTAAGCAAATAGAAGTTAAGGAAGATGCCAGCTAACTTAGCTAGCTAAGTCCTCTGGTGACTAAACCAGAGAATTAAAGATTGAATCCTGCTTTCACCAATAATGGGGGTTACATGGATGGGGAAGGGCTACCAGAGTCAGTGCTCACTCATCAGTAATGCAGAAAACTTTTAGAAGAATCATTTCACAACCGATGAATTGGTGGCTTAGGATGCCCCATAACATACCTAAGCAACAGTTAAAATCATCCCCTCTAACTTCTGGAGGCAGAACACCAGAAGAAATAAGAGTCCTAGCAGTAAATCTGGTCAATGTGACATGAAAGCAAAAATGAAGGGAAAACAAAATCAATATCAATAACTAAAAGATAGCTTCTACTTAAACCTCAGTCCAAAGTCATTCTATATGGGCAGATAATAAGAAGGATTTCAAAAATCAATTTGATGAAACCAAGAGATCATGACAATTTGTTTTATGATTGACCTATGGTTATTTCTTAACTATATTTCCAAGGGCAGGACGAGAAAGGCCCAGCAGATGGATATAGATACAAGCTATAAACAATGTAGACTACAGTTAACTACACATTAAAGAAGCAAGCTGATAAGTTTACCACTCTGGTATGCATGTATCTTGCCCTTGTTAGAAAAGTTAGCTACTCTTCAATAATTTTGAAAACATTGAAGAACACCAATTTCCTCCATAGACTTGTCATACGCCTTAGTCAATTTGAGTCACAATATCCTCAGAATTAGCTACTGTAATCAATGAGAACTTAACACATTTGACATACCTAAAACCCACACTACACTCCAACGCAAGAGGAGAATTCTTCTTATCAACTGTGATGGTGTGAAGGTGTTGTGCTACCAAAATAGAAATGATCAACCTAACTTAAACTCATACCAAATAAACCAAAAATACAAACCAATGCCGTACCTTAATCCTTCCACCTTCATTAATCAAGGAGCTACACGACCACTCCACACCCAAAACCTGACTCGATGTCTCATAGGTAGCTTTGATTAGATCACCACCTAGAACTCTCCTTGACACGGCTAAGTCCCAAGACTTCTTGGCCAAATCATAGCAGGGCTCAAACGTTGTCAACCCTCTATGCACATGAGTGTACTTCAACTTGCAGTTAAAAGAACCGAGCTCATGACTTGCAGATAACTTATTGGCTATATCTAACAACAGGGTCCCGTCCAGTACTGTCCGTCTCTCATTCCTCACGTGGGTGTATGTCCAATTTACCTGTTTGCCGTCCACCTTAAACGTGTTCATGAACTGAAACTGAACATCCTGAACAGAAAAAACCAAGGCAAATTAAGCACCTTCTTTTGACAAACATTTTCCTTACAAATGAAGACTGCATTTTTCCAGGGGAGAGGGAAAGAAAGATGGTACCTTTTTTGGGATGTCAAAGTCGATTATGAAAGAACCAGGCTTCTCAATAGAAATTAAGAGGTCATCAAAATTTAAGGTGGACCCATCTGTGAAGTTGGTGTCTGACAGGGAAGCTCGGAGCTTAAGCTCTCCTGGATGGGCTGCAAGAGTTGCAGCCAAGCCTTTCTTGTTGCCGTTGGCTCCTCCTATAAATGACACTGCAGCATTCATCAATTTTTTTTTCTGTTTTTTTTTTTATTTCCTTCTGTAATATTCTTTTCTTGGTTCTGTGGCCTAAAGGCTTTGGAGGCTTTTGGTTTTCAGGGGATTGGCGTTGGAGGTGGTGGTTGAAGAGGCCGATTTTATACTTTCAATGGCCTTTGTATCCTTTCCAACAACAGTTTCCTGCGAATTACGAAAGTGCCATGTGCAGGGATGACCGATTCTGTGGTCATTTGCCTGTTAGGCTCTATTGTGATTTCCGGCTCTGGATTTCGGAGTGAACTCAAAAAAAGAGAGAAATTTTTTTTAAAAAAAAATATTATATAGAAAATTTTAATTTTTTTATTATTTAGATAAACAGCCCAAAACTTTTTTTGTTGTTTGGAAATAATTTTTTACTATCATCCTAGAGTTATTTGGATGTTAAAATGATCTTGATTATAAAACAATATTGATATTTGGTTTTCACTAATTTAGAATCAAAATTAAGAATAAAAATAAACAAAATCAATAATAATATTTTCTAAATGTTATAAAAAAATAACTTTATCAGAACAAATAAAAATAACTTGAAAGAATACTTAAAGAGAAGAAAGAAAGTATTTAGGGAAGAGAAAAAATCTTATTGAAGGGTGTATACAAATGAATCAAAAAGGGTCTATTTATAAGCAAATAACCCCTTTACAAGATGAGAATAACACTTTGAAATTAGATAGATTATATTTTAATCTAATCTGATTTACTTCAAATCTAGATATAGATAACATAAATGGATATTCACAAAATATTCATAACACTCTCCTTGAATATCCATTATATTAAAAATATACCTCATTAAAACCTTACAAGAAAAAAACCTCATGGGAAAAAATTCAAGTGAAAGAAAAAGAGTACATAATACTGCCTCATTAAAAACCTTATCAAGAAAACCCAACGGAAAAAAAACTTGATGAAGAAAAAAAAATACAATGCGTATTTTACTTCCCCTGATAATTGCATTATTTAAGATCTTTAAAATGGCGCATCTTGATCTTTTGTACCAATTTTTCGAATGTTACAATAGGAAGGACTTTAGTAAATAAATCTACTAGATTGTCACTTGAACGAATTTGTTGAACACTGATATCACCCTTTTTTTGGAGATCATGAGTGAAAAAGAATTTTGACGAAATATGTTTTGTTCGATCACCTTTAATGTATCATTCCTTTAAATATGCTATGCAAGCAGTATTATCCTCATATAATGTTGTTGGAATTTCTTTCTTGGTTGACAAACCACACGTTTCTTGAATATGTTGAGTTACTTATCTTAACTAAACACATTCATGACTTGCTTCATAAATTGCTAAAATTTTTGCATGGTTAGAAGAAGTAGCAATTATAGTTTGTTTTACAAAACGCCATGAAATAGTCGTACCTTCATATATGAATTCATAACCTGTTTGGGATTGAGCTTTGTGTAAATCTAATAAATATCCTGCATCTGCATAACCGATTAAATTTGATTTTGATGCATTTGAATAGTATAACCCATATCCATTATTCCTCAAAGATATCAAAATGTATGTTTAATTTCATTCCAATGTCTTCGAGTTGAAAAAGAACTATATCTTACTAAAAAATTCACAACATATGATATATCAGGTCGTGTATTGCTAGCAAGATACATTAATGCCCCAATTGCACTAAGATATGGTACTTTAGGATTAAGAAGTTCTTCATTATCCTCACAAGGTCGGAAATGATCTTTTTTTATATCTAATGATCTTACAACTATTGGTGAACTCGATGGATGTGCTTTGTCCATATAAAATTGTTTTAACACCTTTGCTATGTAATTAGATTGATGGATAAAAATTTCATTTGTTTAAGTGTTCAATCTGAAGTCCCAAACAAAACTTTGTTTTCCCAAGGTCATTCATCTCAAATTCTTTCTTTAAGTAATTCACGACTTTTGATAACTCTTTAGGAGTTCCAATAATGTTTAAATCATCAATATAAACAGCAATTATCACAAATTTATATCTGAATCTTTTTATAAAAACACATGGGCATATAGGATCATTTTTATAACCTTCTTTCGAAAAATATTCACTAAGACGATTATACCACATGAGTTCGGATTGTTTTACTTCATATAAAGATTTATTTAATTTGATCGAATAAATCTCTTGAGAATTCAAATTTTGTGCTTCAGGCAACTTAAATCTTTTAGGGATCTTCATATAGATATCATTATCAAGTGAGCCATATA